AACTTTTAATTATTTTAGCCCCAAGGAAAATGTAAATGATTCAGAATCTCTTTTTTCTCTAAGGTTTTGAATATTACCTTCTTCTTCATTTTAGACACCTTCTACCTCCAGAGTCAAGATTTATTACATCCCGCAATTATTCTCAAAAACATTCTGGGTGTACTGCACAGAATGCATCTCTAGTTTGGCCTGACACAATTTACTGTGAACCGAAAATATTTATGTACGGTCCTAGCCTAAATAGCTAAGTTTTCTTTTGCCCTTGAAAATCAACCATAGTCATTATAATTTAGTACATTTGGTCAAATAACAATGCATCAAGAACAGGGTACAGTTTGGCAGTTCTAATCTAAGGTTTTCACAAACTTTATGAAGATGGTAATTGGGGTCTCTAAGCTAATTTCAATATTCAAAAAGCCCAACATATTTTATTATTCCTCCTAGTGAGAGAGTATCATCCGTTAGGTGAGGAGATATAAATTCAGTGAAGCATTATTCTTCACCCCATGTTCATCAAAGACTCTGACTGGTAGCTATAGGCCTGATTTTTATAAAAGCAATTAATGAATATAGTAGACACAATCTTTCAAAACACAGTATCTATGGCGATATCAAATTATAATAAAAATGGTTCTACAGTGTGCAAGGATTGGGAACCATTGGTTACAGCGGGGAAACGCTGTCTTGAAAGAAGACAGTTTCCAGTGCTGAGCAATGTGATTAGTGGCAAGCCACTGCATTTGTCTGGGTCTCCATTCTTAAGCTATAAAATGAAGGTTTGCTCAGATGATCTCTGAGATGTTTTACAGCTCTAAAATGTCTTTTTATGATCTTAATATTATAAGTGCCCCAAATGCCCAGACCCACCTCACTCTTTTCTATAACACTCCATTCTCTCCTAGTGAGATGCAATCCTTATTAAACCCCAATACCCCAATAGATAAGGTTTTTTTCTTTTACCTAGCAACCTAGCGAAGATTACTACTAGTTTTCAGAAAGGCTCTGTACCTCAGGACACTGAGAAGGGGAAGGAAACTCTAGTTACAACAGAAAACAGAAGAACAGGAACAAAGCAGGTCACTGCTACACATGGCATACAAACAATGTGGCAAGCCTTGGTCTACCATTAAACTTCACAACAATCCTACTAGGAATCACTATCTATACCCCTTTTACAGATGAGGTAACTTACTTGCCTAATGCATTGTGATCTATTCATTTCACAAAAATAGGGACATAAAGCTTTAAATTATGAATTTTTGGAGGGCAAAGTTATAAGTCGTAACATATTCTTGGAGACAAGGATTTAAAAGTGGGTCTGAAGAATGACTCTAGCCTCTAATTATAGACTTGTTAGAATTTGGTTAAGAATTTTTTTTCTGTACTTCTTAAGTACAAAAAGCTATGTAAGATGCTATACTAAATTGTATACGTCAAAGTCACAATCAGAGGTTTGAGTAATAGTGTCATATTTTCTGGAAGACCAGGGAGCAGCTTATAACCAAAACTCGAAAGATATTATCTAAGCGGCTCCATGGCTAAACATTTCCTGTCTCTAATATTCCAGAAATGAAATTCCATTTTCATCAAATGAAGCTGTCTTATTTCCCATATTTCGTATTCAATTAGAAATAATCCCAGAAATCTGAACCCTTTCAGATCTAAAACTAATCTTACTTGTAAAACACGCATAAGCCACCACTCAACAATCTGAAGATCTTGTTAAATAATCTACACAATAATCAGTTCCTTTGATTTGGAATTGGTTATTTAACTAAAATATTTTTAAGCATGTAGCATCAACATTAACAAAAATGTCCTATTTACTTTTATGAAATAAATGTGTTGCCTTTTCTCAAAAATGTACAGAAAGTACAAGTGATCACAGGCCTGAATTCGAATTTAAACTGACAATCTGCTTATCCAGATAAACTATTTATTTAGCAGGATTTTGTATGTATGCATGTTTTTAATTAAAGTGTTTGTTTAGTCGAGGCCTGGAAAACACTTCCCAGATGTACATGGAAAGATTTACAATTATCCAGTAACATTTTAAGTTGATTCTGCTGTGAAATACTTACAAGGTTCAAGACTGCAAGAGGGTGGCTCTATAAAGGAACACCTTTTCCTGCTTGGCTGCACAACCGGGAACTCCGCAGGCTCTCTGGCGGCACTGCCACACTCCAATCCCCAAACGGGGAGAATCCCCTCCCGGACACAGAACTAAGCGCCACAGATTCCGGCGTAGGATGTCTGGCCTGCTGACATTCCCATTAACTGGAGCTGTCTTCCGGGATACAGCAATTGTAAATATAATGCTGTTTTCCCGATTCAAACCCCCTCACCGTCCCCCCTCAGTTTGGCTGGGGTGGGACTGAGAAACCCTCTCCCACTAACAAGCCGGGGAAGGCGCTGCGACGCCCCCTCCGAAGAAAGAGAGGGCAGCCCCGCCGTCCTCCCCTGGGCCCGGGCCAGGGGCTTTTCTAACCCGCTCCCGGAAGCTCATCTGAGAAGCTGAGAGGCCGCCCACGCTGGTTCCCTCAGCTGCCCGCACGGGACCTTCCTGGACCGTCTACGCCAAAGCCCGGGCCAGCGGGTAACCAGCCCGCAACAAGCCGCACTCACCGGTCAAGAAGCGGAGGCCGGGCAGCCATCTTACGACCCCGTCAACATCGCGCCTTCTCATTGGCTTCAGCGTCTCAGCCAATGGGCTGGGGCCGTTCTGGCCCTACAGTCGCCATGGCAACTGGCCTTGCTTGACTTCCCTTTTCTGTTGACCGAAAGGAGGCGGTTAGTTTCTTTCTTCTTGTTCCCTCCTCCCCCTTTTCTCTTGCAGCTTTTTCCTTTCTTCCGAACGTTTTTTAAGGCTTTGTTCCTTCTTCATTCCCTGCTGTACACCAGTGCATCTGGGTGAGGAAAATGCTGACGTAGACATTGAACTGAGTTCATGCCACCAGGAGGGAAAATGATTGCCAACGCTCTCTGGGGCCTTCTGCAAACGTTTTCATTCATTCATCCTTTCCCCCTCCCTTTTTTTTTTTCTTTTCTTTTTTCTTTCCCCCTACCCCCGCACATGCTTGTTGAGCGCCCACTGTGTACCAGGCACCGTGGCAGCCTCTGGTTAGCGGATACCGGTTCCAACTCCCGCTCTCCTGGTGCTTACCATCTGGTGATGGAGTCCGGAATGCTTCACTAACCAGCTGTGTGGCCTTGGCCAAAAATGGACCGAACTCCTTTTCCATGGAGAGCACTGGGTTATGCCCTGCCTAGGATATTGAAGAGCATGGGAGGAAAAGCAAACAAGAAAACAGCACTGTGAAGGAAATAAAATAGCGTAATGTGATAGGAATGAGAAGAGGGCTATTTTAGAAATGCTTGCATTTTCGCAAATAGTGGTATGTAATAAGAATAAGGTTAAGAGTAGCTGTCAATTTTCTAGTGTTGTGATGATTATATAATACAGTAGTACCCCCAACCAAGGTTTTGCTTAACTGGTTTCAGTTACCTGTGGTCAACCATAGGTTCACTGAAAATGTTAAATGGAAAATTCCAGAAATAAACAATCCATAAATTTTCATTTGCACACCTGAGTAACATGATGAAATCTTGAGCGGTGTGTATTATCCCTTTATTAAATGTACCCATGCTATATATGCTACCATCCCGTTAGTCACTTAGCAGTAATCTCAATTATCAGATTGAAAAAACATAAATAGGATTTGGTGCTATTCCAGGTTTCAGGCATCTATTGAGGATCTTGGAACATATTCCTGATGGATAGGGGCAATTACCATACACATAAACCCTTTAACACATTACCTGGCTCACAGTAATTTTCAGTTTTAGCTATTTGTTGTTGACATGATCAGTAATTCCTTTCTTTGAAGCAAGCTAATAGTGCATAAAAGTTTTACAGTGTTCTCAGTAATATATCTTTGTTTAGCGTAATCAGATGTTTAAGCCTTTTACTTAACTATACACTACCCCATCTGACCTCCAACATCTTCCAGAAGATGTGCCAAGTTTAGAGTGGTTTTATGTAACCCCCAAATCATAGCGAAACCTGAATCAACAAACTTGGGTCACTGAGATACCTTCTCATGCTCACATTCGCTGATTCTAGAATAGAAACAAGGCTGAATGATTTAAGGATTTGTATGAAACTCTCCCGGCCAAATCTGTTCAGCTTCTTAGTAGGGTTTTTCTTGAATCCAAATCTTTAAAAAGTTAGGCAGTTAAAGAAAGGATGTGTATGAAAGTGCTGTTCTAAAAGTTTGCATTAGGCCTCTTGATTGCTTATTAGTCTGCTAAGGCTGCCTAGCAAAATACTCCAGACTGGGTAACTTAGACAACAAAAGTTTATTTCTTATAATTCTGGATGCTGGAAAGTCCAAGATCAAGGTACTAGCAAATTGGGTTTCATTTTGAGGCCTCTCCTCTTGCCCTGTAGACAGCAACCCCCCTCTCCCTTTATGCTCCCTTGACCACTTCTTTGTGCGCACAGGTTTGGGGAGCTCTCTTGGTGTCTCTTCTATGTTCTTATAAGGGCACTAATTCTACTGGATCATGGCTCTACCCTTCTGAACCTATTTAACCTTAATTTTCTTCTTAGGGGCCCCATTTCCAAATACAGCAACTCTATGGTTTAAGGCTTCAACATGAATTTGGGGGGAACACCAACATTGAATCCATAATAATTGCTGATGATGGAAGTGTGACCGGAATGGGGAATGAGAGCAGAAGGGGAAGAACTGAGGCATGGGGTAAGAAGGAAGTGATGTTGGCATGTTTAAGAACTATCTGGATTGTTTCTATGTGTATTCCATCAAAGAATGCTTATTATTTAGTGCATATAAATGTGCAAGGAATACAGGTGAAATATAATTATAACTACTCTGAAGACTTACAAATACCAGATTTCATATCAAAGGTTTTTGGAAAGTCCTAATTCAAAAATATCTAGCATTTTAAAATTAAGTTTCTCAATGTTAATTTGAGAATTCTCAAATATCAGATTGTTTACTCTATGACATTATTAGATTCCTATAATAAACATAAATAATAGCTGAGAATTTTCTTCTGGTTCTGGCTGTAAGACTGTCAGTTTCTGAGTATTATCTTTTGGACAGTTTTTTAGGGGAAATGTCAGTCCTTTGATTTATTTTAATCAATAAATTTACCTTCCCTTCAGCAAATTCCTGTCCTGGAAACCTGCCAAGCCATGCGTTTTGTGAATGAAATACTTGTATTAGTGAGATTTCTATGAAACATAGAATTGTTGAATACCTTTTACTAAATCACAGTGAAATACTTGAGGCAGCTAGTGAATTGTGCTTGAATTGTGTTGCATCTGGCACTAATTTCAAGCATGTAACTTTCATTTAAATTCTCAACCATATCTTTAAAAATACAAAGCAGTTTTTCTTTGCCAAGAAATATTACAGTTTATGAACAGTTTTTCCTTATATTTAATAATTTTTTAGTGTACAGATTATCAGTCACACCCATGATATAAAAGACTAATTGTGAAGTTCTTTATGGTGGCTGCTAAATCTCTGATTGATGAATTTCTCCAAATATAATGAAATGCCTTAAATATTTCTCAGTTGGCAAAAGTGAATACAACTTTGTTAACATATAATAAATGTGCTTCTTGCTGAAACTGAGAGTGAAAATAATTAATTTCCTTCTGTATAAAATGCCTCTTTTTGACATTGAAGAAAAAAAGTGGTCTAGTGACTTAAGCAAAGAATTGAAACCAGAGAGTTCTGAATTTCAGGATTGTGTTGATATCCTTCATGACTAAGGAATGACAATTTCTATGTCTGGATTTACTTTTTAAGTTTGAAAACTGAAGCATCTATAAACAATGTTAGTCTTCCAAGAATATGTTGAACAAGTAACACTATAACATCAATGAGAGTTGACATTTAAGGAAACAAAATTTCTATTGTATAGGAGGTTGCCAAAGAATACCACTTTTTCTTTATTGGTTATATCTAGGACTTTTAAATTCTTCAGGTCTAACAGGTTGTACACAGGTAGAGAGACAGAACAGGAGAAGGAGGTTTATTGAGCATTTCTGTATGCTAGGTATTTTATATCTAATATCTTACGTAGTTTTGTGACATAGCTATTATTGTATCCATTTTATAAATACGGAAATTTAAGACTTCAAGAGTTTAAGAAAATCGCTTAATGCTACACAGCTAGTAACATGCAGAACCAGGGTGAGGAAGTTTCACTGGACTCTAAAGCTCACGCTTTCCCCACTGTTGCATACTGCTTATTTTAAGAGGAGGTTCCTGATGAATCCCAGCACAATGTCATCAATAAAGTATAGGCATCATTACTATGCAGTGAAATGTTATATCCACTGGGAGCTCATGAAGAGAGAGGCTTTGGGAGCAAAATGTCTCCTCTTTCTCCTTTCCCCTCAGTACCTAGTGAGTGATCAGATCCTGTCCGAGGCATCCTCTTCAATCATTCTTGGTTTGCTGCACTGAAGTTGATGTCAGTCTCCCTTTTCCAAATACCTTCATCTCTCAAAACTCCTCACTGCCTGATTAATCTCTCTAAATGAAGGAACACATGTAAAACTTTCACATAGAGCCTGGCTTATAGTCAATGGCCAGTAAATATTAGTTTCCTTCCTTTGCATGTAAAAACTATGAAGCCCATAAATGTTGATAGAGTATCATATTCATTTGTCAATCCTTTGTGATCCTTACTATGTGCCCAATGCTCAGTACTGTGCTAAGGTTGAGAATTCGTAAGAAGTACTGTATAGGAACTGGGCTGCCAAGAAGTTTGTAGTCTGAGACATGTAATATGGTTAGAAATGATATATTTTATACGATAAGTACTAAAATCATGAGGTTTGTGATGTAAGTACAAACTATGGAAGTCCTGAGAATGACAACGTAAGCTCGATGGAATTTAGCATACACTATTTCCTTTGTCTGAAATACCTTTCTCTTTTATGTCTGTTAAACTTCTTTTCATCCTTCGAAATCTAGATCAAATATTACCTGCTGAGTTAAACCTTTCCTGACTCGTGCAGTTCACACCTTTCTTCTCTATGTCTTCATGATAGTTGGTACGTACCACAGCGAGGGTTTTATCATATCGAAATGTGATTAGTTGTCATGGGTCATCTCCTCTGATAGGTTGTGAGCTCCTGCATGACAGTGCTTGTCAGGCAGTAGGTATTCAGTAAATGTTTGTGGAGAGGATGGATGGGTGGCAGAAGTGGAGATGTCAGTGCATGGTATGAAGAGGAATATGGGGAAGGTGACTTAGGAACATCATACAAACAAATGCAGAATGACGAGGATGCTATCATTTAGGGAAGACATAAGAAACCAGCTTGAGCCAGACTATGGAGCCTCCCCTAAGGCAAACAGACAAGTTCTAACTTGATACAGTAGAGAGAAGGATGGGATCCCAGTCAAGAGAGTGACAAGTTGAAGCAGGTGCTCCAGTGAGATTAATGCTATAGTCTCGTGATTATGAAAGATGGATTTGGAGGTAGCTGAACCAATATGAAAGGCACCTAGCTAGAAGGCCTTGTGGAAAAAATGATCAGCATCTGGCCAAAGCAATGGGAGGATAAGAGGCCATTCTGAGCAGCAAGTGTAATATTTTCCCCATTCATTCATTCATTCCCTCCCATTCTGGCTTTCATGACTTTACTCTTATTATTGCT